CGAATGCCGTGCATCCCGTCGAGCAGCAGGGCTCGTACACCAGGCCAGTGATCCCACGCATGCCACCGTAGGCGGCCCCGACGGTCGCATCGCTCAGCTTCTCGCCTCCGCACTTCTCCTTCAGGGCCTTGATCCTTGGAGCGTCAAGTTTGTGACGCGCCAGAATCGTCCCCTTCAATTCGTCGACGATGCTCGACTGTTGGCGGGCGGCACTGTAGACATTGAGGACGGCTCCAGCACGGGTGCAAAAGCGCAGCATCTTCTCTGTCGCTGTTGTTGTTGTTGGGTAATTTTCTTTGCTTTTATTCAGAGCTTGCAGGCGTATCCTTCCCGATGGGGGGAGGGGAGGGGGGATGTGTGCGGGCGCAAGAGGCAGCACGAGGGAAAAAGGAAGGGAGGCAGAGACGGGCAGATGCAGAGAAAAGCGGAGGGGGCGTAGCGGTGAAGGAACGACGGGGCGACGGCAACACGAAGCTGATGGCAAATGATGTAGCGGCATGCACCTCTTATTCTGCACACACACACACACTTTGTAGTAGCTCAAACACGGATGCTGATTTTTTTTTGGCGATTTGCATGTGGAAATCGCAAGCAAAGCAACAAGCGTGACTGGTGCCCGTCATGAACGTTTTGTTTTAAATCCTGACGTGAGAAGGGAAAGCTGTTTTTTTTTTGTGACTTGCTTTGCATTCCTCACAAATAGTGACAGATTTTCGGTGTGGAGCGTGGGTCGTCGTTTTTGCGTGCCGGAACTAGGAGCGAGTAGCATAGGCATGTCGTAAGCGAGCAGCGACCCGCCATAAAGAATGCATAGTCGCTTCGTTTATCACCAAGTAGGATGGCAATAATTACGCATAAGGGGAACAAACACACGAAACATACTCGGAGCAAACAAAAAAAAATGGAGCAAAGCAAAGAGAAAAAGAGAAGAATGATAATAGAACGACAAGAAGAGGTGTATCTTCACCGTATTATGCTGTCCAACTGCGGGGTTCATTCCTGCTAGTTTCGATTGGTTTTTCATTTACTACACATCCCCCGTGTATTCATTGCGTGGTTATGTTTTTTTTGTTTCTAGCGGCTCTGCACTTATTGGGCGGTTGGCCGGTGTTTGGCTGCAAACAAACACGTCGCAAACTTTGCCCCGCAGATCACACACGCGGTCACGGGCGTTTGCGGGCAGGGAGGAGGGGGTGAAGGAGAGAGCAGGGAACGACCCGCTACTTGAGTTACTTCTGCGTTTGCAGTCGCATCACAACATAACGTGCGTTGATCAACTCGTCATCGTCCACTGCGGGGAGACTTGGCGCGTACAAGAAACGAACCGTGTCCTTCTGCAGCCGCAAGGATCTTCCAAGGCCGGAGCGGAGTAGGCTGAGTTTTACGTCCTTTGTGCTGACGGCTGTCGATGGCGCGTCTGCAACGAGCTCGAGCGGGCCGCGTGGGGTCAACACCAGCACGGCGTGACAGGGAACAGAACCCGCCGTCGACGGAGAAAGAGGTTTGGAGATAATGAGGCGTGCGGTGAATATGGGCTGGCGACCGCGGCTTTCCCACGGCGAGGAGGGGGCACCCCGCATGCTAGCAGGGGATTCTACCAACTTTTGGGGCTGTCGCGGCGAGCCACCTCCACGACTTCCCGTCAACGAGCCCGCAAGCGACAAATGTGGTGGAACCGCCTCACGCAACTGAAGTTCGCGCGTCAGCTGCTCTCCTCCGAGGCGATTACCGTCCCCCATGAAGGTGCTAGCATTGGAAACACCAAGCTCCGTCAAGCATGACATAACGGACTCCCGCACACTGCCTGGAATCTTCATTGCGCGTGGCGTTGTGGTGCTTCGCTCCGACGCCGCAGGTGCCCAAATGCCTTTCAGAGGCACCCCGTGCGGATAGGCCTCCTGAAGAAACGAAGGGAGAAACACCTGGCAAATGTCTCGCACAATCGAATCTCGCTCAAGTGGGTTGATAAACAGCACCCCGACTGGGACACCCCATCGCATCTCCTTTGCCGCTGGCATAATCATTGTGGCTACCTCTGAGACATTACCCGGTAGCTGTACCTCACCGTCTCTCAGTGCGTCCTGAAACGGAAAAACGATGCAGCCATTGGGAGGAAATCGGGCGGCCCGAGAAGCGGCAATACCAACATAGTTACGATGCTGTGTTGTACCATTCAAATCAATCGCCAAGACGAAACCCACGTCGACAATGATCCAAACAGGCAACAAGCCTTCCTTGCGCAGACGTGCCTCTGCTGTTCCCTCCGTGAAGCGTGTCACCCACGCTCTGGGGTCAACACTTTTGGCGTCAATCTCCATCATGCGGTTGAGGACACCGATGGCGTTCTCAAACTCCGCTTGCTCCTTGGAGCAAAGTGCTACAGCCTCTTCTTTCTGAGCCATGGGCTCGCCAGTAACGAGTGGCACTTGCTCAGAAGCAACGGCTTTGTTAGGATTGTCGCGGGCAATTTTAAGCTCTCGCATCCCAGAGCGCATCTTAGCCTTTATGCCGTTTGTGACACCGGCGCCGGGTGGCTTCACTCCTGCTGAGGAAGGTGGTGACGTCACGCCATCGCCCACGAACCGTTTTTGCCCGGCGGCAAACCCCGCCTTATTTGCGCGCAAGAGTGAATTTGGCGTCCGTCGCACATCCGGCACCTTTTTAGCCCCAGCCGAGACTTTGCGCGTGGAGGGGCCCAGCGTCGATCCATCTAACTCCCGTGGCGGCGACCCTCTTCCGCACGGCTCTGGTAACGGTGGGAGGTTACGCCGCTGGGCGGAGGGCCGCTTCGCCACACGGACGGGTGCGTTGGGCGGGGAGGAAGACAACACACTTCCACCTTGCCACTGCCGCAGCAATCCGAGAGGACTCCTGCGTTTTGCGTCCATCGGGTCAGTGACGGCAGAGGCACACCGAGAGCGAGAGCGCGAGATAGACGTCAACGGGGGAACTTTGGAGCGACCGAAGCCTCTCGACTAGGCTCGCCCGTGTGACCTCCAATGTCTCGCCGCGGCGTCCCGGTGCGGTGCGGTACGGTACGATACAGAGGGGCTGCCTCCTATCCCTTGGCTGACGTTGCTGCTGCCGTTGCCTGAGGCGCGCACGGCAACGGCAATGGTGAATAAACAACACACCCACAGAGAGAATAAATCAATGCGCAAACGCAAAATTGAGGGGAGGGGGAATGTAGGGAGCTCGCTTGGAAAGTAGCAGAATTTTATGCGCCAACGTGAGCAGACAAGGCTACAGCGGCATCCCTCAACTCAACAAAGCACACATATGCGCGCACACAAACGGATATAAATGTAAATATTATATAGGTAGAGCGAGGAAGAGTGAAAGAATGAAGTTACTTACACACTACGAGCCACACATCCCGCAACATACTTCTCGTTCCCTCTCTTCTCAATCACGGCGACCACACCTACACATGCAGTGCATAAAAAGTTCGAAAACAAAGAAGATGGAAGGGAGTAGAGTATGTGGAAGGGGCGACCAAGGGATTCATTTCAAGGGACTCACGTCTCAGTGTAACTGCTGTGTGTTTGTACATGTCAAAACGACAACCCTTCACGGTGAAGTAACAAACAGTTTTACCTTTTCCCCTTATTCCTTCTCCCCCTACGCTGGCCTCGTTGTGGGGCAGAGACCCCAACCTTCCATCCACCCCACCCACCCCCCCTCTTGCAAACCCCGGAAGTCAATGTGCCAAGACGGCGACCGACAGACGCACGTGGTGAATACGAGGAAAAAATCAACGAGGGGAAGCAAGAAAAACGCCACATAGGAAGGGGCAGCAAAGCCCAAAAATGAGAGTGCATCGTATAGACTTGGCTTGGCGCAGCCGGCATCGTGAGGACGAAAGTGACACGGAAATTGAAGGGTTTTTCTTTTTCTTTTTCCTATTCTTTTATCTTCTCGTCTGAGTTCGTTTCACATTTTCTTCCTGTCAGGCGGCCCCGTCAGTTCCGTCATGTTGACCAACTCCGCCATTCCCAGTGGGCACACCGTGCCGTCGCTGCGAGGGACGGCGATGAATTTCTCGACGGCGCCCATTTGGCACGCCACTGAGAAGCCGCGCGCGTGACCCCACACCGCCCCCTCCCCCACCCTGCGCAACAGCTGTGCATCAACGCCAAACAAACTGCGGGCTGCGAGTGTAGAAACAAAATAAAAATTAAAACAAAAATAAATAAATAAAACCGGCTACATCGCGGGTTTTCCC